CAGACTGCTTTCCTTCTCAATCAATACCAGATACTCTATAATTTTCTGTCATTTCTTCGCCTTCTCAATCAAAACTCATTTTCTTAGTTATGATTGTAGTAGAAAACAATTTAACGTACAATTTACTAGTATGCATGATTGGAATTGCGCTGCTTGGATACATACAAGGCACAACTGGTAAGTAAGTCACCTGGGTTATTGAAGTTAATGTTGCGTTTATCCAGACCAATCAGATGTCTCAGTATCTTCCAGTAAGCAGGAAGTTCCTGGGTTGAAACAATTATTTCAGTTTCCAGCACCTAAAAGAGTGCTCACACCCTCAGAAAGAAGAAAGATTAGAATCACCAGTGTCTCCTTCTCCATCCCATCCCAGAAACATTGGCTTCAGTGATGCAAAAGTAACATCAATTTGCCATTCATCGGAGCTGTTTGCTATTTATGTCTAATTACCATGTAGCACATCGATAATGCATAACATTAAATATGTATCATCAGATTAACTTTGTTGTAAGCTCTAGTTGATTACAGTGCTAAGCTCCATCCATGCATAAACGTAGTTTGTTGCTCATGTGGCGTGGTTGTCTCCTCATAACAACAAAACAACAGAAAACAATTAAGGACACATTACTTTCAAGGGACTGGAATTAACACCAGTATTCTCTCTCCTAGTGTGGGTCAATAGGCTTTTCCTGCCAAATAGCTAGACTCTATTAGTTGTCTGGCAGGATAAATGTGTTAGTAAAATAAAATAAAAATTAGCAAGATCAAGCTCAAGTTTTAAGGTTATTAATAAATAAAAATACTAATATCTCTTCTATCCAAAAATATCTAAGTCTAAATTAGAAACTGAGTTTACAATGTGGAAGAAGTTGAAATGTCCGAAACTACTTACAGCACATAGAAACACTTAAAAGCAATCATATCCTGAAATTATTGAGGAGCTTTTAATAGATGCAGTTATGAGTTAGTTCCAAATAATGTGCACTAAATATAGGTGATTTGTAGGGTCACTTCATCTTTGAAAATCTGCTTCAGGATAATTTAATTTGATCTATTGAGAGAAAAATCTAAGACCAGTTAGTGTTTTTAGGATATCAGTGGTAAAAATTAAATATTTGTAGACATACTTACATATAGAACATTGACAAAGAAATGAAACTAAGAGTTTCAAAAAGTTAATTAAAGCCTTAAAGGAAAAATAAAAGTATGCTCTATTTTGGAACATTAGTGCTTATAAATGATTCTTAAATGCTGTGGAAATTCATGTTGGTAGGGAGTTTGTAGTCATATTCACAAAGTATATGCAGAAAAGATATGGTTAACGGAGACGGTAGTATAATAATGTTGCAGAATAACTTGCAAAGATATTTGTAAAGCAGGGGTTGCTAACCAGGGGTTCACAGCCCCCTTTGGGGACTCGTTGGGAAAATTCCAGGGATCCTGAATTTGGATGTGAACAATACTGCATCTTATTTTCTTTAACTTGTAACTCATATTTCACATTTCATTTGATTAACAATGTGGGCAATATACCAAAGAAATATTAACAGTATCTCTAACTTTGTCACTAATAGAAATAATCAATATTTTCACATCACATTAAATTTGTGGTAGATATCTTGAAATATTGTTTGTAGTCATTACTACTTCAAAATTATACTAGTTATTAAAGCTGCCACTAGATCTTATTTTTGAATGCTTTAATCAAGGAGCACATCCATGATAGCACAACGTATTTTTTGAATATGTTGATATATATTTCAATATAATTGTTTTTTATTTCTATATATTTATTCTCTATGGAGAACCAATCTATAAACTGGTATAACGGGTTCATGGCACAAACAAAAAGGTTAGAAATTAGAACAGGAAAGTTTCCCAATCTAGATGGTAGGGATGAGTCATTCTCAACTTCAGGTCGCCCTCACAACTATCCATAGAAAGGACACCATTATAAAAATCCCAGACCTAGGGTTGATTCAAATGCACCCTCCTAAACTAGAGAGACCAAGAAGGACTGCATTAGAATGGT